GTCCAGTGTTGGCCCACTTCCTGCTTCACCGGATCCTTGAGTTTATTTACAACATCCAATGAAGAACTGCTAGTTCCGCAGTATTCGTCCAGTGGATAAGGTGCCAATCTACGCGCATCTGAAGGGCCTTGTCTGAGATGCCTTGGGCCTCTACGACCATGCCACTCGTGGCATGCAGCGACTGCTTCGATACTTGAGCAGTGCTCAGTAGGTTACGTGCCACGCTACATGCATCACTGGCGCCTCGCCCTCGATGCCTCAGCCCTTGGTCGACCATGCCACGCACCCGCAACGGAAAGTTGGCGTTGACAAAGCTTTAAACTGTGCAACTATGTACCCAGACACGTTGAAACCCGTTGCCTAGAGCAGATAAATAGGTGAGGTGTCATGGCATGCAGCGACTGCTCCAATACTTGAGCAGCGCTCAGTGGGGTACGTGCCACTCCACGCTCAGCCCGCGAGCCATGCTCGGGACTCCTGTCCGATACACCCTTGGTGTTCGACAACTCGAAACTCCAATCTACAGCACGTCGACCGTCCCTGCCCAGTGCCCGCGCCAAAAGCGCTTCTGCTTCTTAGCAGAGATGGGTTCATGACTCACCAAAGCTCCACCAGGAAACGTGCGCGTAGCGCCCAAGGTCTTCGACCTCCAATCGATCGTGTTTCAACCATGCCATACCAAGGATGAGGTCATACCTTGAATCCAAGTTTAAGCCAAAGCAGCGTTCCATGCCATCAAAGTCAAGAAAGTTGACACCGAGGACCACAGGGACCCTCGGCACCGTGACACGTGTCCTCGTCGCTGAGCGAACAGTGACGATGTCAGTCAACCGCGCCTTCAGGTCTCAGCATACAGCTAACTTCCTTCCACCGTGGAACGTCGAGTTTAATAACCCAACGCTCCGGAGTTGATCAGGAACTTCCATGTTTTCTCGAAGCCCTTCAAAGTCACTTCCACGACCAGCAAGCCCGGTTTGCATACACGTTCCGTGTTCAAGAGCGTCGAGGCTGGGCCCTGTCGGCCTCTACCTCTTTGAGGCTCAACAGAACTCAGTTTCTCCTCAGCAGGCCACCCCGCACCAACTGGGCGTTGTCTTTTTCCTGCGACAAACCAGAAGACTGGTGAGAAGCAGGACGTCAATTTGATGAACCTTGACGCGCTTTGCGTATGGGACCACTAATCCGAAGATGACGGATGTTTCGTCAGACAAAACACCATCGGATTTTCGAACGCTGCTCAGCAGCTCGAAGCTCTACCTCCTCGATCTAAGCATAGCTGAGACCCATCGGCTGAGGCCCCCTCGATGAGCTGCTAGATTGTGCATTCCGACCAAGTGGTGCCGACTTAGAGTTGAGTTTGATATTCAATGCCACACTCGCTGCTTCTTCAAAAGAAGACGGGTGCACACGGAAGACTTCCATTCTGGCCACACCAGTACGGAGGCCCTCCATAAATACGGTCACTGTGACCGAGGATCGGTTGCCACATCGGCAATGAGAGTACGCAACTCTTGGACAAAGTTCACCAATTTGATCTTGCCCTGTCGGGCGACAAGGAAACACGATCGCACGCGATATACCTGATTGGGCGGCGAGAACACTCGTGGAACTGATGCTTCAGCTCCGTCTAGGAGGGAAACGCCGCACGACCACCGAGCTTGGAGATAGCTAGCGCCGCGCACTGTTGCTCGGTCTGGAGCATGGCGGACGCCATGGCCATCTCGACCTATCACCCAGAGCAGGATATTCTCTCCATCCTTGCCCTCGAAGGTCTTAACACTCACCACGAGCCGCTTGGGTCGGTGGGAGTCATCCGTCATCGACGATGGCGCCATGGACGCTGTCGTCGCCGACATCATCTGCTGTAGGTGCTCTAGCAGAGCATTTTTATAGCTTGAAATCGCCTCTAGGCGCGCGCTGATCGCTCCAGGTCCTTGCGAAGTGAGGTGTTGCACGCCCCTCAGGGCCAAGCAGACACATCTGCTTTTTAATCCCGTCCTGCTTGCCCTGGATCAAATAAGAAAACTACTTCATCCTCACAGAGGGTCAGTCGTAACGACTTAGGTGTAGATTGACTACAAGTGCTACCAAGTGCTGTAGCTCTTTCGCTTAGAGTAAGGTCGGTGACCGTCGTTGTATACTTAGAGCCAGCACGAGTGTAGCGAATCGCAATACGAGTGTAGCGAATCGCAATCCGCTTACTCCGGAGTGGCAACCACAACCTTAACCCAAGGCAAATAAACTCTTCGTGTCAGAATGTAAACTTTTTATTTGCGGCAAAGCCGCCTATATTTAAATATATAATTTCTCCTTTATAGATAGGAGAACCTATTCAAAATATAACTACTGGCTGTTCTAGCTACATACTGACTTCTTGTTTAAGTGTAGCCACACCATTGTGTGGTCACACCATCTCGTGTGACCCTAACCCTTTATTCCAGGGCCCGTGAAACCCCTTGTCTGCTGTTTCCTGCAAAAATCGGCATTGATGAGTACATCTTGGGTCTGGCCTTAAAGTTTCAATCCAAAAATCAAATCTAGGCTTTGCAGCCCTTGTGGACCACCTGAGCACGAATTCTAAAATCGCTACTGTCAGCATCAATTCCGCCAACATGACTTGCCGGTAGTTTTATTGTTTTGGATCCAACTACATACACGTGGTCAGACAAAACACCTTAATGGTATGGCAAAGGAATTTTCAAGCACTCGCGCGAAGCGACCGCGGTATCGGAAAAATATCACACATTGATTTGCGTAATATGACACAGAACACATCTCTACAGACTTAACTGATGTTACTGTACTCCCATATCCCACTTTTCCGCTTAGATACAATTTCGAGAGTAGTGTGTATATGCAAAATATCTTTCAGAAACTAAAAATAGTTTCTCAATAAAAATTTTATTTTCCAATTTTAACAGTAGTGACAATTATCTTTGATTCTTTTAAAGGTAACTGATTTATCAAGCCATGATGTTCGGTGCCTCGCGTTTAAATAGTGTTACCCGGCAAGTTTCTCCCTTCCGAGCTCCTCTGCTTAATAAACTCGGCCTGCCGTCATATGTCCAATCTAAACTACCTACCGAATACGTTCGTTCCACCACGCTGCGTTCGCCTTGCGCCAAATCTCCAACATTTCTGACGTTCACCAATAACCGCGCCTCAGCCATCCACCGAACCATCTCGTCCGTGTCCAAAGCTCCACGCAATGAATTTTCTGCTAAAATCAGAAGCTCGACACAAGTTGGGCGCCTAAAGGATCTGTGGCATAAGTACGGTGTAGTGGCTATTGGCACGTACATGACCTTGTACGGTGCTGTGCTGGGCTCTATTTACCTAGCAATCGACCAGGGCTGGTTGCGTACCCACAAAAGTAACGATTGTGATGAAGAAAGGCAGTCAGATGATAGCTTTAATCTTGTTACCACGACGAACAAGTAGGCAATATATTGCGTATGTGCTATAGTTGAAGTGACTAAGCTGTTGTGCTCTTAGGTTCGTCAAACTTGCCGAGGAGATGGGTATAGCGCAGTACTTGGAGGTGGAGCGCGTGAATTCGAAGACAGGCACATTTTTACTGGCGTGGGTTGCCACCAAATTTACTGAGCCTGTGCGTTTAGGGCTGACGATCGCGATGACCCCACGCATCGCGCGATTCTTAGGCCGTGCCCCGAAGCTGGAGCCAAAAGCTCCAGGGAAGATTGCTAATATGATTAAAAAACGAACGCTGACAAAGAAAGAGTCTGAGGTTTAGTGTGGTTAATAGAATTCTTTAATCAGAAGGTTCTCATGACAGTAGAATTGGGACAAGATGCTGTGGTTGTTTATGTTAGAGGGGCAGTAAGGTGATAAATATGAACGAGCGACCTTTGGTGAAACTTGTTCAATTTTGACTTATCCATTCGCTACTGTACGTAAGCGCACAAGGTTATCGTTTTCTCCGACTATAGTGCAATCTGCTAACATATAGAATGTTGGATGCTGACAACAACAGGATGCGGCTCTGAAGGATTAAAGTTAGCAGTGTCATCGCTGGTTCTCTGAGTTTTAGAGCTTACGTGCGAAGACATTTATCTTCATGACTGATCCTTCTTCACTGTACGTCTGGGTTTGCCACGCAAGTAGATTATGACGCTTTGGGTTTGAGACTGTTTGTTTTCTGATCATAATGAAGCCGTGGTCCACCACCGAGAGGGCCTCCGCCGGGACTAGCATCGGCAGGTTACCCGCAATCTCGGGGTCCCCCTCTCGGCTTTGCGCCGCCAAGAGGACCCCCTCCAGGTATGCACCATCCTTCTCAGTGACGGGATCTCGCATTTTGATGCTTAATGCGATGCTGTACATCTTCTTAAAGGAGCTCCACCGGGACGAGGGCCACCCCCAGGTAAATATTACCTGAAAGCAATA